TTATAATAATGAAAAGCATTTCCAGAAATACAAATATACCTGTATGGAAATCATACTGAAGCATATTTCGCTTACCTGCCAGGGATAAACATCTGAAGTGCGTGCGAAATGCGATCAATGAAGAGAATGAGAGAGCTTAAAGCCGAAATCAAATTGTAAATTGACAAGCAACACAAATAATATTGTGGGCAAAGACATAAATCTGAGCAGCGTTAAGCTACCGTAAGCCCCCCTTGAGCAGGGCGGGCCACGCACTGTTCTCTGTTCTCGACTGTTGCGAACGGACGTCATAATCGTTTCAGTGACAATGCATAAAATTTCAGTTTTACGATTTAACTGGGCTATAAAGGAGCCAATTAGTGTCAGTGGAGAAGACGAAAACCGAAGACGAGCGTGGAGAGCGGAGCGCGGCTGCCCAATGGCAATGCATTCTGATTGGTACAAGCTAAGCAGTGCGGGTGGAGAAACGGGACTTATGTACATTAATACTCAGGTTGTCGATTCAACTCTTGTCTAGGGGTGAGAGGCAGTCGCAAGTGCGAGGTGCATTTAATTGCTTTATGATCATTTTGACAGCCCATCCAAATTATTCAGGCTCACTCCCACTCCCACTCCCCCTTCCACTCCCGATTCCAATTCCAATTCCAGTAGCTTCATTTTGTTTTTTTTTTTTGATAGATGCATGGAGATGGCCCGCTTACAGGTGCTGCCTAATGTACGACACGCAAGCAATCCCAATCACAGTTCCTCTGCTCGATGTGGAGAACAGCAACGAGTCATAAACTGCTGACAAGTTCGTAATTTTTTATTTTTTTATGGCAAAGAGTCGCTGCGAGGCGGCGTCGCGGCTTGCGGTCTCCGCGTTGCAGGTGTGTGCAGGTGAGCTCGCAAGCGAGCAAATATGCCCCTCTTCAATATGGCTGCGTTCTTGAATAATTTTATTGCTATGAGGCACAATGTCAAGTGCTGGAACGACTTGTGAGTTATGTCCGGCAGTGCACAGTGGGTGAAAAGGGATTGAGGGGCTATCAAAAATTTGATGGACAATCGACGACTGTCTATGGAATAAATCTTAATAAAACATTGCCAGAGGAACTTATCTGTATCGCACTTTTGCTATCTAGGGGCAGTGCGAATCAATCAGCCTACGCAAGTTAGTTTCTCCCTGGAAACGAGACGAATCGCAATTTGCAGGCTGCACTTGGGCTCGATTCGAATTGCACTCGCAATCGCAATCGATTGGCGACATGGGCTCCACTAATTGCCAAGGCAAAGTCGGATGAATTGTTTGTTTGCGACCGTATTCGGGTCTGGCGTGTGCGGCAGTGTGTGCTGGGCCCTTGAGCAACTCTGACTTCAACTACGACTTGGACTGTGCAGCCGAGTCGAATATAAATAAACAGACCTGAAGGAGCGAGCTGACTGGAGGCGCAGCTGTTGGCCACGCCTAAAGACGTGCAGGTCGCGCCAGGTGAAGTGAGTAAACAGAAATGAAGAATGTCCGCTGATTGATATTATCCGGTGCCACACACACACACACATGCACACAGACAGAATTGTAATCGAAAATGGATTTCCATTTAGTGTTTCCGCTGCAGCCATATTTCATTCGAGCTGTCAGCATGAGCTGCAGCCATTTAGTACGTGCGGTAGACGTTGTCTCTATCAGAATTCCGCCGTAATGCACAAGGCCATGTCCAAATTTAGCCATGCTCATTTTGCCATTGCCTTCAACGCGATGCGTTTAGAAATTGATTAAGATTCAGTTGTGCTCTGCATTCTGCTGCATTTTCCCTCGAATCTCTTCTCGTAGCTTTCTACTGAAAAGAACAAATGCCAAAAATATTTCATTTACTTAAAAGCTTTGAAATTTCTCTGAGTTTTTTTTCGGTATGTTTTTTCCTTGGTTCTTGTTTTACTTGTTTGCTATGATAAAATTAAACATATTGAAGAAAGAAAAGAGAAAAAGATAAAAAAGGAGCCAACAAGAAGAGGAAAGAGGAAAACTTAAAATATATTTGATGCGACCCGCCGCAGATACACACACACAAACACAAACGCACATGCATATATGTATGTTAAGTGAATCGGGATTGTGTGTGAGAGTGCGTGTCATGTGTGTGTACATATATTTGTGTATAACTGTGTGTGTATTTGAGAAATGTCGAAAAGCGATTTACGCCAGCTTCCATTTCGGCTGCTGGCCCATTGTGAATACCCTGTAAGAATATTGGGAACCTCTTGATATATATTTATGGAAATATTTATGTAGCCAACATAATAATAATGGTACACAAGAATTAAATAAGTGCTGTCCAAAAACTTTTCCCCAAATTAAGTTTCTGGCAAGGCAAAGGAATCCTTCTCCTCTGCAGGGTAAGCACAGGGTCGGTTTACTATGCTCAACTGCTGCTGCTGCTTCTGCTGCTGCTGCTGCTCTTGTTATTTTTCCATTTCTATTTCGATTTTATTTTCGTTTTTTCTTTGGGTTTCCATTCCGTTCATTGCCAGCGTAAACAACAACAAGAGCAACGAAAGCAAACTATCATTACCATTCCATTATCATCATGGGCATGCTCCATTGTTGTTGATATTGTTGTCCGTTGTTTCGGTTGCCAATTTCTGTTGTTGTTTCCATTTTGGCCGACCCATGCCGACACCCCGCCCAGCTATATCAATCCTATTGTTCAAGTATGAGACACGAACACGCGCTTATGTATCTACACCTTGAAGATTACTATATATACTATATATATGTGTATACTTATATATACACTTGAACTTCTCAGTCATTCTTAGCTCGTACTTGACTTGCTCGCATTTTCGTTTCGCATCATAATTTTTGCGTGCAGCGACAACAAAAGCAACAACGCCGAAAATCACGTTCCAAGGAATTCACTTGGGACAAAGCAAAAAATAAATAATAATGTTGAATTCCGAGAGTCGCAGCAGACTCCTAGCCAGTCCCAATCGCTTCGACTTCAACTTCACATCTACCAGTTGCCAGTCTTGCCCCATCTGACCCCCCTCCCTCCACTCTGGAACTCCCACACAGTTGATTCCATGTTTGGGCCGGGACCACATTTCCGAAATGTACTGTAAACAAAGCACGCGCCAATTTGGAAAGGGCAGACGAGGGCAATGAATGGAGAATCTGCTACGGAGAACAGACTCACTAAATCCAATCTCAAATTCAAGATGAATGCTTTGAACTTATTTAATGTACCTGCACAGAATTATTCGTCGTCTTATCTAAATAAGTAGGCCTCTTTTGCTATTCTAAACATCGTTTATATAGATTAAAGAATATAATTTGCTACAGGCAAATTTGTAAGCTGCAAACTCTTAGTGACTCTCAGTGAAAATCAACAACTCAACTTGATCTACCGAATTGTATGATCATAATTAATCATGTGATTCATTCTATTCCATTCGTTTCTAAAAATTATTTAAATTTAAAGCCACTGATTCGAGCTGGATCCAGCCGCTTTATTAAATAACCACAAAGTTAACGAGTATCCTAATGGCCCATGTGCTAAGCCACTGCTGCTGCTGCTGGTGCTGCCGCTGCCGCTGCTTATCTGCAGTGGAATGAGCAGTGCATTAAAGCAAGTGAGGCAGCAACAGCGTTGCATGCATTACTATCGTCGTCTCGCTCCCTCGCCCACTGGCTACGAATTGCCATAACGGGGCCGCATATGGATTTATTCCTGTATCGGTAGCCAACGTGACAGCACGTACATGCACACACACATGCACATGAGCACACACATACAGCAGCACTTGCACACAGTACGAGTTTCGTTCATTTGCCATGCAGATGCATCGCAGGCCACTTCAGTATATCGCTCCAATATGGTGGACATTTCGTTCAACTACTCTTTAACCTTTACTGCTACACACACATCCACCAAAATGCGTGTTTATGTGTGTGTGTGTGTGTGTGTGTGTGGCACAACCTTTTGAAAGCTCGGCCATGCGCAATGCAAGTTGAATAACGCTGTGTGACGATACGCACCCTTTGCGAAACGATTGCAGTCCTACTCAATAAATATGAAATTATCATAAACGAATTTTTGCTGAGCTTGAATCATTTTTATTAAAATTATTATTTATTTTTGCATTCTATTTGCTTTTCTGTCTAATTACAAATTGTTGAGAGAAATAAGAAATTAATATGTTAGAAATACTTTTAAATTTGTGTATATATAATGTTATATAATACTTTAGATATCATTTATCATTATTTATTTGCTTATTAATATGCTCACTTTGGATTCACCTCACTCTTGGAGAGCTTTGATAAAAAAATATGTTTATTTTCCATTTGCAAATTTAATTAGAAGAAGGCATCGAGAATATTTTTTAATTTCTGCTAGTTCTTTAATTTCTCGAAGAAAATCTCATAGTGCAGCCCAGGTGCATCAGGTGCACAAAGATCGGTATAAGCGATGCACCGTGGAGCCCTTACTTATTTATCGCTACAAAAATCAGGAATTTTCATGAACGTATAGATCTTGACTTTGTAAACAAGTACGAGAACTAAAATACAACCCAAAAAATAATAAATGCATAGTCAAGTTATGTGTTTGTCTTGAAGCATACATAGATCTGCCGAGCTGAGGGTACATCCTTCTCATATTCTGCAAATTATTCGTTTAGTAAACACACAGTTTGTATTTATATCCTTACCCAACAAGTAGCGAAGAAATATACATATGTATGTATGTTATATGCATGCCATGACTATCGATTCGACTATATACACATCCTATAAATAAAATAAAGTCATTACTCAGAGACGCTTCTTATGGCCACACACTTCGAATAAAATATATACTTAAGGAGATTAAGTTACAGGCCTCAGTATATATGCGGATATGCGGTATGTGAGCAGGCGACGGGTGTGGCTATACGAGTTGAATACATATTTTAATTTGAAACAGAAAACCCGTTCCTTCTGGGCCGGCCATTTAATCGGATTTGCAAAAGTTGCAATTTATGCATTTAAGTATTGCAGGGGCCATCAGCGTCCAGCAGTGAGCCGTTTGGCATTAAGTATTTTCATTTTGCTTCTTTAATATTTAGCGATCTTATTGTGAAAATATTGAAGATTTCCTGCAATGGCATCGGCAACGCCATCAGCATCAGCATCAGCATC